ACTGAAGATGTTACCTAGCCAGATAATGAAACATTTGCAAGAAAAGAACCAAGCTCAGAGAACCCCAAGGACTCCACAGTTCTTGCCTTCTTTGGGAATGTTTGATTTCATGGGCTAGCCTGTACCTGTCCCTCCAAGATCCTGCTTAGCTTTTGACCTCATCTTTTTCGATAAGAATAAAATGAAATGTCAGTTTCATGTTTGAAACTCTTCCTTCCTAGGCTGTAAATTGCTAAATTGGACTGTATAGCACCACTTCCAACAAGTAAAAGTAAAAAATGATATAGTACATTGCCTATTAAAAAAAAGATATAGTACATTTCCTATACAGTTTTTTTTTACATTTATAACTTGGAGATCTCTATTTTAATGCCATTGTAGGCTTTACTTCAGGAATGTTCTTTTGAGCACTTACTACATCCTGTAGGGCCAGGGGCAAAAAAAACAGCTCTAGATCTCAGTTGTGGATACTTGTAAATTGTAGCAGTCCATCTCTCTGACCTTTCTTTTGACTCCCCAAAACCTGCTCCCATAACAGTGTCACCCACACGTGAGGGGGGCATCCAAATGAAGTAGATTTTTACTTGTGAGATAGGAATTACCAACAGCCATGTTGTCTTTTGTTTAAATGCTTTCAATCGGTTTACATACAAAACTGTAAGGAAGTTTATAGAACAAATTTTACATATCAAAAACTACATTCTCTTACATAATGTAGTAATTGCATTATTAATATTTGCCATAGTTTTTTTTTTAATGGTGCTCTTTAAGTATGCTCAAATATTTACAGACTCCTCCGTTCTGGGGTACTCAGTCACCAACCTAAGAATTGGCTGGTAGAAACTAATATAGAGAATTCAACCACCTCAATAGCCTTTGAAGTAATGTAGTTAATACAGTTTTACAATTCAGGTATACAACAAGTATCCACAATTGAGATTTAGAGCTGGTTTTTTGCCCCTGGTCCTATAGGATGTAGTAAGTGCTCAAAGGAACATTTCTGAAGTAAAGCCATTAAGATAGAGGATTTCCAAGTTATAAATGTAAAATGTATAGGAAAGGCACTGTATCATTCATTTCCAAACATGATGCGGGAGGGCTGCTCATTGGAGGCTGAACGTTCTTTCTAGTGAGATATGCTGGCCACTGTTTTTTAGTACTATGAAACTTTTTTTTATTCTCCCCATATCTTTATATATTTTATCTATTAGAAATTAAAATGTATGTTGCATAGATGCATTTAACTGGTTGCCTGTGGCTATCTATTGCTTATATTCTGTATAAATGTATAAACTTCCTTTCTACTTTCCAAACAATATTTACAGTTGTGTGAAAAAGAAAGTACACCCTATTTGAGTTCTG